TGCAGGGAAGTTGTACTGACTTAACTTAATCAGATTTGAAACAGTTGTGATTATATTAGCGCAGCATTCTTGTATAGGCATCCTTAATTTAGTTTGTCTTGTATCTATCTATTTAACTTAAGTTGATTCAACACAAAGTGCTCTCAAACTGAATTAAAAACATTTACCCAGGAGGGTTATACCATTTTACATTATTTTCTAATTCAATTTGATTTAGTGTAGTGTATACATAGACAAGACCTTGGGGAAAAAGCTGATCCTTTTTATTACTTGCTGAACAGTATGTCATGTTTGGCTGCAGCCATGTGATTATGGAATGAAAGGGCCTGTTGTGGTGCATGGTGGTGGAGGATGGGCGCACTGATCTTTGCAAACCATTGTACAGCTTGGTCATTCTTAGCCACAGTATGTGATTGTAGATTGTTCCTCCTTATAGACCGGGACTTTCTTCGCTAGTTACAGATGTAAGACCTCTGGAACACTGTCTTGAGGTTGTTCTTTGGCCTGCTAATAAATTTCATGCTGCTTTCCTGACACTGTCTCACCCCAATATGCATGTGCCCCAGTGTGAACGGTGACTTCAGCTCCTACAAAACTCATGGTGAAAAGGAAAAAGTTGTTCTCTAAGCACTGCAGATGCCAGTAAACTTTCACACTGGAAAGCATGAACCTAGTTGATGCGCTCTGTGTTTTCTCCTGGTGGCTGAAGGTTCAACGACAACTAAGCAAATGCTCTACAAACCCAATTGTACAGGTAATATTTCAGAATGAAGTTGGCTGCTCTAAACAGCTTTTTCATTTTCTGAAATTTGCTTTTACTACCACCCGCAAGCATCAGGGCTGAGCTTAAAGTCTCTGCAACCTTACAGGTATTTTCTAGGTTGGGTCACTGCAACAAACTTGCCCATCTGTCCTCTGTTAATTATGCAAATGATGTGCTGTGCTCCATTGTCAGTCTGTGTAGATACAGCCATCTGTGCGTTACTGCAGCTCATTGATGGAGAATATGTTATGGAGAGCAAATTTAGGCAAGCATGTAGGTTGCAGTAATGGTGCATTCTCTAGCATTGCTAGGTTTTCTGCTAGAGGGACAGCTCAGTGACTGGCAGTCCTTGCAGCTGAGAAGTTGGAGGCTACAGCTTTCCCATAACTTAAAAAAAATCATGAGCTGAAACAAGAGGACTGTTGGTATTAATTGCTGGGATGGGACTTAGGGAATACTTACATGTGCTGAAAGACCACTTTTCAGTGGCTGAGAAACTTAAGTTTTTCCTTGTTCATCCCAATCAAATCTAATATTCTTTCATTAGGTACTGCTGGAAGGTAACGCTTTCTCCTTTTCTTCCTCTCCTACACAGTGCAGGAACTGGCAGGGGGTCTGGGAAGGGGTTTCCTACATGTTGATTTTCTAGAGACATGTTCACCCTCTCCCTCTCATCAGATGTTTGCTCACCTTAGCCATTCTCTAGCTTGTGTTTGAGAGGGAGAATGTAAGGCTGTGAGTCCTCAATTTCCCTTGTGATCTCCCAGGCTTTAACAGATAAATGTTGTTAGGACATCAAGAGTTGTTTTTACTAGCTGGAACCACGTGGTTATTTTCAGGAGCTTTGAGAGTTTTCCTAATCTGTGTGAGCAGTTTTCTAATGGCCTGGTTTACGTCTCTTTAGATATCTAAGAAATAGATATTGCTCCAGAAGTCTTCCCATGGAAGGTCTTAAAGGAACACAGGTGAGAAGATGGAATTAGACACAAAATCTAAGGCGCAAAGACAGCAAAACTCTGGAATTTTGCATCCTAACCCACCTTGTGAGGATCAAAAGGACCACTAAGCAAACAAAAGTGATCAAACTAAAGGAATCACTGAGCAAACTAAACAGGCTTCTGGTCTGTCAGTGTTTTTGGATGAGAAGCTGTTAGTACCTCTTCTGTAGCTGTCAGTGCTAAAGGTAACTTGACGGGTGACCTTTTGTCAAGCTAGTTCTTGTGCAATATCATATGTAGCCATTAAAGGTGGTTCTCTGTTCTCGTATGGATTAGAAAGCTAGCATTCATTTCCTGGTCAGAATCTCCCCTGGGTATTTTTATTCTCCATTAACATTCCTTCTGGGGATTGTATTCGGGTCTTTTGCTTCCTGTCCTGTTCCTGTTCAGATGTTAATCAGCTGTTGTGTTCTATTCCAGTTACATGTGAGAGATGTTAGTGTTTCTGATCCGTTCTGGCTTTTATAAAAGGGTTAGGGAAGCTAAGCTGTTCTTAGCATGGTGACTAGATAATAAGCCATACTTAAGGATAGGGAGCCCAGCTGAGTTGGGGAGGTGGGGAATCTTTGTATTGTGCATGGAAGGAGTGGGACCATAAGAGAATTGTGATTTTGATAACTTGTGAGAGACTTTCATAGAGTGCATGTATGTGACAGACACATGATATGTCCTGTTTGGTGGTATTTATATTCAGCAAGAACTAAGCAAGACTGTAGAGTCCATGGATTCATTTCCTTTGGAAATATGCTAGGTGTTAGGCAGGCCTATTCTTCGACAGAGAATCTAATCCCTTTCTCTTGCTATCTCTTGAAGTTGCTCCCATGCAAGGAACAGAGATTTCTGCTTAATAGTCAAGGTTAATTGATAGGAAAAAGCGGAAATGAGCAATAATCCTTCTGAAATTCAGTTCTAATCCAAGAGACACTCTAATGCTGTTACTCAGATGTGAATTGTGAGCATTAACATGCAAGTAGAACTGAGGTGCAAATCTCTGAGCTGGGAGCTGTCATCTTTTTTTATTTTAAACTAAAAGCCTGGGAGCCTCAAAGTAGCCAGCAGCGGAATGGATTTGAACGTATTTTTAATTGAAATTCCTTCTCTGCATGAAAGGACCTCATTAAATGTTAAAATATCCTTTAATAACCTTGCAGTCCTTTTCCACTGTGCTTGGCGTGAGCGGTCTATAGGGGCTACTTCTTAACTTCAGACAGCTTGTTCTTCTGTCGTTGACAAGATCTCAGTGCAGTTTCTCCATCCCCCATCTCTCTGATTAGCAGTCTTGATCAGGCTTACTGCAGCAGCTCCTTGTGTAATCTGTCTTGAGACTCAAGGGGGCTGAGGTTGGCTCTGTCCAGAAGCACAGGAAGACAAGTGACAGATCTCTTGCTGTTGCTTCCCATGAGGCTAACAAGGAGAAATTATTGCCTCCTAATTCTTGCCGATCTCCAGAATCTGGTATTTAAGCTGTAGGCTGGTTAAACTGATTGAAAATTTTGGGTTAGCTGTGTGATTAGATAGGGCAGTAGCAGCAATTACTTTTACACGAGTATGTGATTGGAGTTTTTTTGGAGTACTGATTTGGTGATAGCCAATGGATGTTCCTGTAGTGTTGCTTTAGAAACAGATGTGGTTATGAGTGTGTTATGGAAGGTGTTTTCTCTGTCATGCAAGCTTATCTTTCTGATTAAATAGCAAGATCAAAGAAATGCTGCTTTTGAAAGGAAGATGATGTTAAAATAAGGAACATTCTCTGCAGCAGTATCACCATGTTTCTATTAAGGATCAAAAACTACTGTTCCTGAACACTGGTGAACAGGCAGCTGTATAGGATCAGAAAAAGCAACACGAGTGAAGGTAGTGATGAGGAACACATCTTAGATGTCCTCATTGTTGTTACTGGAGAGAAGGTGATGCAACTGGGTAGTGGTGTGGTTTTGCAAGAATACCGAGTAGCTATTAGTTCTGTGGATCCTGAACAGAATAGTCTTAGCCATTCAGTGCTATGTCACATCTGCTCTGATCTGTGTGGTAAATTCCATCTTTATTAAACAATGCAGAGGACATGGCCACTCTGTGAATGGATTTTACGTGGAGGGGTGCTGTCTGATAGAAACAACTAGAGCCAAACGTGTGTGCAGCTGCAGTCAGTCACTGTCACTGCACTTCGTCTCAGTGAAGGGGTGGTTTGTTTTTTGTCTTTGTGAGGGAATGGAGGAATCATTAGCTTTTGGGAGCAGCAAAGTAAATTGTTAGGTTTCCCCTGCAGTCTTCTGACCCTGTATCTGTTCATGTCTGTTTTCCTTCAAGATGTGACTATTGCTGATGGGTGTGAGCCCAAGTCTGGTAGCCCTCAATGAACTGTTCGAGTGAAGCTATATCTGTCAGTGAGCTCAGAAATGAGTCAGGAGTTATTGTGGGTAGGATCTAGAAGACTGTAGAATTGGAGCTTCTGCAGATGATAGCCTGCTAGAAAGAGAACTGTAAATGCTAAGGGGTGTTATTGGGAAAGATGGATAAGGCAGATAAAAGGGACTGAGAGGTTAAGTTTCCTCTTGTGCTAATTAGAATAGCAGTGTTTGGGCTGAAGAGCTGCCTGCTGCTGTAGCTTCACGCTAAAGCTAAGTTCTTCCTGGGTACAACAGAATGTGGACTTTTAAGCAAGTTTCTTTAGAGAGGCTTGTGAATACTTTGAGTGTAGAGCAGAATTAGCACTTTCTTCTGTTACTAGATGTTGCCTATGTCCATTTCTGCTTAGAATCACAATGTCCATCGATCTGCAGAGTGTGTCTGTTGCTCACTGAATGGAATAGCAGGGGATTGAGCCAGCTCAGATGCAAAGAATGCCTGGATATTATAGGCAGAGGGGGCCTAACTATGTAGCTAGTTACAGTGAAGTTTGCAGAACAAAGTTAGGCTGGTGTGGCAGGCTGGTTAAGGCAGAATGACAGAAACTGGATTCCTGATATTGGTCAGGCTGCCTCTTGCAGGCTGGTTCCTATTCTGCACAAGCATCCTGCTCAGTGGTGGGAAGATTAAAAGAATTTCCCTTTCTGGGGTGCAGCGAAGACAAGGAGCTTCTTTTGCACTAAGGCTCCTGTAATTAGATAGCAGCCTGATGGTGCAGCAGTTTGCTTCTGACTCCTGCCCTGGCACCTGGCTGTGGGTTGCTCTGCGCGTGCCTGGCTGTTTCCATGTATTGTGTCAATAGGTGACTGACAGTTTCCTTTCTCATGTTTCAGGAGCTGTTGGCCAGATGCTGCTGGATGCTGACAGGGGAAAGCTGATTCGGAGACAGGCAGTCAGAAATGTTTGGACACGTCGTCATTTTGGATCTGTAAGTCCTTGTTTGAGGGAAAATTGCCTGGAGGCAGTGTGGGTATTTGAGTGGAAATTCTGAAATTGTGAGGGTAGGTTTCCAGTCCTGGTATCTCTTCCAGGTAGGTGAGGATGAGATGGCAGGTAGTTCAGTTGCTGAGTATTGGATAGGAAGTGGGACAGTCCTGCCTGAACCTGAGGAACTGTGTGATGAGAAACAGTGAGGCCTTTAGCATGCTTGTTCTGAGCACCACCGTGATGGAAACATGCAGGGATCCATGGAGGCCTGTGCTTGTTTGCCAGTCTGACTTCCAGCTGTTTCTGGGAGCTGGTAGAAAAGCAGTTTCAAACTGTAACAACTGGTCCTTCCTGGATTTACATTTTTTTTTCTCTCTCTCTCTCTTTCTCTCTCACACTGTACTTTACACCTTGCTCCTGCAGATCAGTTATGCTGTTGTGGAGCTGTTCTTAACATTACTAGTCGAGACCTGACAATAGCATTGCAGTAAGGAAGGGGGCTAGACAGTTTGTTGGGTCAGGGCCAGCACCAGGGCACCTTTCAGTTTGTTTTGGCAGAGTTTTGCATGATCCTGGTTGCCTGCCTGTTCCATTCACCTTCCATCTGGCTCTCCCCATATGCATACAACTACTCCACACCCTTCACTTCTGTTGCTCCTCCGAGGGCTTGGTGCCATGGATAGGGGAAAAAAGCAGTGCAGCAATAGAGGTGCATCAGGAAAGGGAAGACTCATCTGCAGTCTCTCTCATGTCAGTGACAGTGTGATAGCCATACAGCTAAGCTCTTAGAGCTGTCTCCTGGATCCACCCGTTTCTCTTTAGGTAGTGATGGATGCCCTGAGCTTTGAATACAGAAGATCCTTTCTGAACTTGTGTTAAATCCTGGATTGGATGGGCAGTATTTCACAGAAGCCTATTTGCACCAACGTAGAGCATAACACGCTGCTTGCAAGAAGCCAGAGAGTAGCTTGTCTTCTCTCTTGTAGAGGAGTGAGCTATCACGATGGTAGGCACAGGAATGTAATGTTTTGGCTCAAAGGAGAGCCTGATAATTTCCAGCTTACTTGTAAGTGCACCTTTAGCAAGAAAAACTGACTTAACAACCACCTCATTTGTCTTCTTAGCATTTAGGCTTCACAATCTGCAGTATCAGAGAAAATGAGCAGTAAGGGTCCCATTTCACAGATTTGTTTAGTCCTTCCTGAAACCAAGGTTTTCTGGAACCTGTTGCTTCATGAATTTGCATGGTTTGGGTTGCCTGAGTGAGTCCTTGGGATGTGTCCTTGCCAAGTGCCTTACTAGCTCTTGCTGGGCTATGTGGCTCAACTGTCCTAAGCTAATCTCCTTTACAACTTACTGTTGTGGATTGAAACAGGCACTTGTAGTGTGGTAAATATCCTGTTGTGCTTCATCGTAAACATTCCCTCTTCTTTACACATTTACAACTGACTTTTTGATAGATGCTAAGTCATTTGTTTCTGTTCTTCAGGGCATCTGAGTGAGTGTCACTGCTTCATGAGGCTTTGAATTTGAGCCTAGGCTGGTAAGTCCTCAGGTCCTTTAGGGCTGGAGAAATTGTAGTAATTCCATTTTGGGATGTCTACATGAGTATTTGTTGTCCTTAGCCTGTCAGGAGTCGACAGAAGAGTTAACTGTAGGTTACCTGCATAATGGTGTGGTGTTTGCTGATATGTTTCTAACAGGAGATCAGCATTTCACTTTGAAGAGGAGAATGTCTTCCCAGCAAGATAGATCCAGCTTCCTACTACATCCCAAAAGAAACCCAGCAGTTTATTTTGGAGATGTAGTGGAACGTGCATTTGTTATGCTGGATGTGATTCTTCTAAAACATTTGAGATCTCTTCACCTTGTTTTTTTTGAAGAAAGAGATCTTGAGAAAATGACTCCAGCAAAGGTGAATTTTCAGGATTTTTGTTGTGGAGATTCACAAGCTAATCCTTGAAGGTGGCTCACGTATGTGGAAAACACAAGTACTTGTGTTCTTTTTAGAACAATAGAGGACAGCTTATAAATTATCCTGTGAAATGTAAAGCCTGACGTGGCTTGGAGCCACTCTATGTAGTACAGACATTCCACACTTGCCAGCCCTTCTAGTGGGCTCAGTATAAGTGTCAGGAGGATGCAGCTAAGCAAGAGAGGATAAGGACTGAAGATAACTCTCAGGGCTCCATTTGGACAGTGCATAACATGTAAAACTCCCCTGGCCAAAACATAAAGCAAATGAATTCCATTAAGTCATTGGTGTGGCAATATCCCTTGGCCAACTAGGAGGGCCAGTACAAGCAGGCATTAAACAGCCTTCCCATCACATGAGTGGAAAGGGTGTTCTGAGTTGTGGCAGGTCCTGCACTTCAGACTTTTGCAGATCGGGCTCCATGGATTGCAGAGATGCTAAGCTTTATCAGTGATAGGATTCAGCAAGGGAAAGGGGAATGGGAAGAGGGTGCTTACTCCAAATGTGTGGGGATTGTAAATGATGCATGTATTGTCATCAGGGGAGATCTGCCATCAGGCCCTAAAGAGATGTCTTGGAATCTCTGGGAATTACTGTCTTGTGTGCAGTGGGATGGCTGAAATTCTGGCTGGTTGAGGGAAAATCTTCCTGCTCTCCACCGGAGTTACAAAGTGGTGGGAAAGAAAATAGCTGCTTTCCTTCTGTCCCACGTGTTGCTCTTGTGCTGCTTCTGCTCCTACAGCAGGCAGAATTTTTCTGCTCAGCACAGCTGAGATAAAGGGACAAAAGCTAGTCTGGTCTTTCTCATAGCAATACTGCTGCATTTTGCAACTTCTGACCTTAGATACCAACATTAATGGCGTTGCTTCCTAATTTGATGCCACCTGCAACTTGGTCTTTACCTCTTCTGACAGAGTGAGCAGTTGTAAAAGTATGGTACCTCCTTCTGACAAGCCTCCTACAGTCTGCCCCACTTGTGTTTCTGTATAAGCAGAAAACTTCTGAATTTGGGCTCTTTAGTGACTATAGTCTCCTCCCACATAGTTCCTGCTGACAGTGACAGCACATAATCAATAACTCCTACTGTCACTGCTGCCTGTAAGGCTTGCTGTTTCCATATTGGAAAAGGCCTTTCCTAAAGAGCCTAATCAATATGCTGCTGTGAGGCCTGTTCTCGTTTGCTATATATAATCTGGATACACACAAACTACGTGAGTGAGTGTGTGTAGAAGGGGGGAGAGGATGTGCCAGCCCTCTGCTCTCACTGGCTGGGAGAAGAACACATCTATCTCTGACTTTGCTCCCTCTCCTGCAGCTGCTGCTCAAGGCTCGTGGTTGCATCCTTTTCCTGCTCTATCAATACTCTGCATGGAGACCTGCTCTGGGACTCCAGGGGAGACTATTTCCTGCTGGTTTGCTTCTAGGGTTCAATGGAGTGTCTGTGCCACTCTCTTCTGTGAACTTTCTGCTGTTGGTAGGTAACCCGCTGTTGGAGCCACGCAGGTGGGAGGATGTCGAGCACAGCTCCAACAAAGAAGCCTTACCGCAAGGCACCCCCACAGCATCGTGAGATCCGTCATGAGGTTCCCATCATTCGTGACGACCAGGATGGAGTGATCTTGGCTGAGCAGAGTCAGGTAACGGCTTGCCGGGTGGCAAAGGGCTTATCACCATTGCACCAGCAAATGGGGTTTAGTTGCACTGAGTCAGGCCAGCTTGAGCAGGCAAAGGGGTTTGAGGTTTGCAACCTGAACTTCTCCTCATCGTGGTCCCTGGAGTCCAGCAGTGAGAAGGAAGTGACAGGGTGCAGAGCAGAATTGAATGTGAAGAGCCAGACCTTGCCAGCACCGCCAGATGGTAGGAAGATGGGACAGCGAAGTGGGAAGCGGTGCCCAAACCGCAGTCGTGGGCACCTCAGCAAATTTGTGAGCCGTAGCATGGAGACAGTTGTGGTGCCTGGAAATGAGGGACACCGTTCCAGTTGTTCTTTCAAGAGCAGAAGCCTGGAACGTTCACTTATGTTTAAGGAGCCTCCTGAAGTCCTGACACCGAGGAAGTTTCGGGTCTCTTCTTCACACCAGCCCCTGAAAGGGATCTTGAAGCAGCCTGGCATGCAAACAGGCCCGTGCCCTGAGACCTTACGCAAGTCCCGCTCAGTTGAGACGCTTTCCCATGGCCGTGGTTCATGCAAGTACAGTGATCCTCAGCTCTGCCTTGTCCGTAAGGAGAAACGCTGTCTGGAGCGCAGCAGCAGTAGCGCTGCTGACATTGCCAAACGCAAAGAGAAACTCAGAGAGGAAAAACTGCAGTTCTCCAAATTCTTGGATGAGATTAGTCAGCGGGTGCTGAGTCCCATCCGCTTGCGCCCACTAGAAGAGACCAGGGGGGCAGAGCAAGACCAGAATTCTGCCTGTTGTGCCAGAAGCTCTGTGCCAGAAGGCCAAGGGGAAGGTCACCTGGAAGAGGTCAAAATGAAGCGTGCATCTGAAAGATCCTCCTGCCCAAGCAGAAGAAAATCAGAAAAGAAATGTGAGGGAATGGGAATGGCTTCATGCCAGAGAAAATGTGCAGAGGAGACTGAGAGAGTTTCCAAACTAAGAAAGAAACCCATCCCTGGGAGAAAGGACAGTAAGGAGAAGGTTCTTTCCTTGGACAGAAAGGTGGTAGATCTGTGTCAGTATGAGCTGCAGCAGCTGGCAGACTTGGGGCTGGCGGGGACATCCTCTGGGCAGCAGCACTCACTGTCTACATGGAAAAGCAGTGCAGAGGGCAAGAGAGATGAAAGCAGTCCCTGTTCACAGCTTTTACAGCCAAACCATCTATGCGCTAAGCTCGAGCGGAAGCGTACAGTGGAGCGGAACTACCCAGAGAAAGGATCCTTCTCCCCTCCAACACACAGGAGTTGGGAGAAGGGACCTGCCCCATCTAGATCCTCCCCTTCCTTCAGCCTGGCACTAAACAAGGTAGGTGCCAGGACTGCTGGCTTTTGCAGACAGGGGTCTCACAAAGGCTAAAACTCCTACCTGGATCTTATCTCACCTGTAATTCCAGGACTGGAGGGAGATAACAGGCCCCCAGACCTCATGCTGTGGGTACTCAGTCACTACAAGTGTTGCTGTCTTGTGTTGCTGCTTGTGTCTGTGCTCCAAGTTGGGTATATCTTTCTTTGAGGAGCCAGCTTCCCTTTGACTCAGGAGGTGGGGGGGCAGGAGTTGGTGCTCTCTCCCCTCTGCTGGCCTCTTGGGTATTTGCAGGTCAGAGGTGTCCCCAGTCTGCAGGGAGCAAGTTGGGAAGCTCTAGTGTCTGCAGGTGGTGGGAGGTTCTTGAGGCTCTTTATCTGCCCAGTACTCAGCTATCCTGGGGTAGTCTGTCTGATGTCTCAATCAGTGATGTCTGATTGAGACCTTTGTAAGCTGTATGCTCTTTTCTCCTTTGGGCCTGGTTTGGGACCATTGCCTCATCTTACTAGGAATTGCCTTATCTCCTTTACCGGTCACTACTGTGTGCTATGTGTGTTTGTAGAGGTCGGGGAAGCAGTTGCTAGATGATTCTGCATGAATTAATCAATTGTTGTTTGGAGTCAGAATGCAAGGAGAGGTTGGGTTGATGGGATTGCCTTTAAGGACAAGAGATTGTATGCAGACACTAAGGACTATCCTTTTAAAGTGTGAACTGATGAAGGAAGCAGCCTCCTGATGTCTTACTGCCAGAACTGGGGTAGGTTTGCTTTATGTAATATTGCTAGAAGCTTAGCAACCTCATTCACAACTGCATGTGGCATGGCCTCTAAGCTCAGAGTTGACTGTGACACTTAATAGCCAGTTTAAAGTGTTTCAGCACTTAGGGCTTCTGTAGTGCCAGCGCTACACCAGGCACCAAAAATAGACCAAGGGCAGCTTGGACGCTGTGAGAATAGTCGCAGCCTTGGGCTTTCACAAAAAGTATGGTTGTTGCTAGTGCTAATTAAATCTCACCCAGGTGTGCTGGCAGTCAACAGCCATTTCATGCTGCAGTACTCTCTCTCCTTGTTCTGCAGATCCCTGCTCCAAACATCTGTGGGGATGTTGCCCAGAATGTTTCTTTCACGGGTTTTTTGGCTTCTGGTATTTCTTGTGCTACCCTAGAATAGTTACAGTGGCTGTTTTCACGTCTGCAGGAAGAAATCCTTTTCACAGTATAATCTAGCTGGTGTAACTGGTAGGCACGTTTTTTTCATCTCCCAGATGATGCTCTGTAATTCTTTTGTGAGGCCTCGAGGGTGTTCTGATTGCTGTGGTGACAAGTTAATTCTCAATGTATACTGGCTTGTTTGATTCCTGTTGCACGCTAACTGTGGATTTGTAGGAAGCTGAAACACCAACAAAGATTATAATGTTGCAAAAGATGCTGAGATTGCAGGTGGGAGAGTAAAGTTTCCTAATTTGTGTGGTGGTTTCTAGTCCAGCTCTTCTACTCTGAACCAAAACACAGTCTGTTTTGGTATCAGCTAGCAGAGTGATGTGTACAGAGCCCAGCTTCTCTAAGTTTGCTTATCATAATCCCTCAGAGCAGGTGTGGAAGAGTCCCATATAGGGTCTAGCAACTGAAACTTTGTCCTTTAAGAACTATATGAAAGCAACTCACAGCTGTTTTCTTCCCTGTGCAGGAACCCTTGACGGATGCAGAAAGGATGAAGTAAGTGTCCAGTTCCCCCTTGATGCCTGTTGTACTGCAACTGTGTGAGTGCTGATTCCTCACATCTTGCCTGTGTCACCTGTGCAGCAAAGCTGACTGGCCCTGCAGGCTCCACATCTTCATTCAGCTCTCTTGAGAGCAGAGCTTTAGGCTGTGCCTTGCCAACCTCTGCATTGTATGCCTCACTCTGGAGGCGTGGGGACACATCTTCAGGTGCAGCAGAGGAGTTGAAACCTTTAACACGAGTAGAGAGAGAAGTGCCTTCATGTTGTGGCATCTGTTTTAATGTAAACAGCATGCAGGGGCCTGCTGCTGAGTGAGGGTGAGAACTGGGCCCTTTGCTGATGGTGCTGTGGGGCACAGACAGCTGCCAGCACTGTGCTTAAAGACATAGTGAGGAACAAGTATGCATTGCTAGAGAGGAGCTGTGCTGTGCTTCTGTATTTTTCTGAGCATAAAGGAATGAAAAACTACAGGAAATCCTTCTGACCACCACGCATGTCCTGGCTGGGGACTAACACAGCAGTTTGTATTAGAATGGGATTGACTGACAGCTGTGATCACCTCTCTTACACCCACCCCACCACCTCTCACCACCTCTGTTGCTGACCTCAAAGCTGTTCAGAGCACTCTTTCCACCATGTGTTAAAGGTGTGAGTGCTTCTGAACAGTTCAAGGGAGGAGCAGTTCAACTTCTTTATCCTACACTGGGATAAATTATTGAGTGGGTTTTATTCACCAGTGGGGGACACTGGAGCTGAACGGCCCATCTGGCCAGTGAACTTTATCCAAGCACTGTAACCTGAGAGGGAGCTGGGAGCTGATAACATGTCTGGCCAGCTAGTATGTTACAAACCATGCATCTCGTAACAATAGCGCACCTCTCTTCATGGACTGGAATCTTCTGATAGTTCAGTTCCCAACTTTTTGGGGCCCACATGTTGGGTTGGCCCCTAGAGCAGGGCGGCAGGATATGGGTGCTAGTGTGGAGTGCCCCTTGTGCCTCTTAGTGGTACCTTTGTTCCTTTGTGTCCAGGCTGCTGCAACATGAGAATGAGGAGCTGCGCCGACGGCTGATGTATGTGACTAACAAAATGGAAGCAATGGAGAGGGAGCTGGAATCAGGTCAAGACTACCTGGAGATGGAGCTGGGTCAGAACCGGGAGGAGCTGGAGAAATTCAAGGACAAATTCCGTAGGTACGGAAAAGAAAAATGAAAGAAGGATAGAGCTAGAGAGATCGTTGTCTCCAAGGACTCCCTCAGCTGGCTTGAGCAGGCTATGCCCTGTTGTGTTGAACAGAGAGGTATGCTGCATCCTCAGTGCTCTTCCAGACCAAGGGGAAAGTAAAAGCTTTGCAGCCATTGCTTTCTCCAAGGTACGGTGTAGGAACATGGCCAGCTCAAGGGATGGACAACAATAGGGAATTCTATTTATTGGTTATAAGGTGGGATCTGTCTTGGATAGCTGTCTGACATCAGCAAAAAGGAGCCGTTGACTACATGGGATGTAGTGCTTTGGTTAGGAATTAATGCTAGGCACTGATTACATGGTTACACGTAGCTTAGCTCAGAGGAGTCCTCCAAAGTCCTTATTTTCTTCAGCGAAGACATGAAAGGTCACTTAGCCAACCTCACCTTGCCCCTAATAACTGGGAGTCTGAAGGCCTATATGTTGTCTTAGTACTGTGAATACTAAGGAGTATTAGGGTTGTGGAATTACCGGTTTGCTTGGTAGTTAAGAAGAAGACTTCAGCAAAGGCCTGAGGACCATTCCTATGTGTATGATCTTGATTCTGTAGGTTACAGAACAGCTACACTGCTTCCCAGAGAACCAACCAAGACCTGGAAGACAAGCTGCATGCCCTGGTAAGTGTTCTGCTCTACATAGAGGAGGTAGAAGAGACATGTATGTCAGGAGCAGAAGGGGGAAGGATTCCTGGCTTTAGCCAGCAGATGTGGTTGGTGTAGGGTGGGGTTTGGCCATGGCCATCTATTCTCCCTTCCGGCTGGTGTCGTAAACTAGTTTCTTGATTTACTCAGCCCCTTCTTGGTCATGCATGTGAGCTTGGTTGCCCACAACATAACTGCATGGTATTCCATCATGTTGCTTCAGTCCCTCTCAAAATGCCAGGGATGTGTCAGCCAGTCTTGGGGTAGTCATCCTGGGAGGACGGGGGCAGAGCCAGTGTGCGTGTGTGTCTGTTGTGTGCATTCATAACACTCATGGCTGTTTCTTTTCTCTCCCTCCCTCTCTCTTTCTCTCTCTCTCTCTTTCTCGTCCTCACGCTGCTGCTGGCACACGCTGGGCGCGCTCACCTCTCAGGCCTCTCTCAGCCAAAGCTGGATTTTTGCAGTTGCGTCTTTTCGTTTGTGTGTTTTTTCTTTTTCCTCTTCACGTGTCTTAGCCTGTTGGTTTCATTGTCAGTCCCACATATATGCCATCCCAAATGGAGGGGCCTCAGCCCTCATCCAGCCAAGGGTTCACCTGGTGTCCAGCAGCTGCCCACAGGTGCAGCAGGTCCTAGCTTGCAGTGCTCCATCTTAAGAGCATTTGGCTCTGGGCCAGCTGGAGCATGGAGCACTGGGAAGTGGTGCCCATACGCTGTGGCACTGCACAAGATGTGGATGGCTGTGAACCTTGTTTGCTCCCTTTCCTTCCCCTTCTGGGTTGTGAGCAGGCAAGTTGAACAGCTGAAATGTAGCCCAAGATGAGGGTGGGTGGGTTTTTTTTGTTTTTTTTTTTAATGTTTAGTTCTAGCCCTTGAATTTCTTGGGTTAATATAAACTGTGTTGGTTCCTAAACCAATTGTATATTTGGGACGGATTCTCCTCCTCAACCCCCTTGTGTCACTGTACTTCACGTGTGACTCATCATTGGTCACAGCCTTGGAGCAGACTAGATCAGTGTTGGAGGAACTTCTTGAGAAAGGGGATGGCTTGGTTGTTCTGAGCTATTGCTCCTCTCAGTTGTTACATCTGAGTTTCTGTCTGCCCTGCACCTGAACTATTAGGGAGTCTAAAGAGACAAGATCATCTGCTTTAGGGAGGGTGCTAGGGAAACTCCAGATGAAGCTGTGCAGGTCCTTTTTCTTAGTAGAGCAAGAGCTGAAGTCTTTGAAGATGGAGCCCTTTCCCTGCCAAAAAAAACCTGTCCATTCAGCATTGACTGCTGAACTTTATCAGCAGTGTTCTTGTTCTGTTGGTCCTGAGCAGAGGGCTGATTATCACGAGCTCAAAGGTGGTTACTGCTAGTGGCAAGATGACTGTTCAAAACCAGTAGCTTGCCATCAGACACCCTGTGAGCCATGACAGAGAAGAAACATAGTTATGCTGCAAGAAGAGGGACTGCATTAGGGACGTTCAAACTCACTAGTTGTCTCTGTACCTAGCAGAGTGAATCCCTCCCGAGGTGAAGAGCCCTTTGTCTGTCTGTGTAGAAGTTCTTGTGTATCAGCTGAGCATGTCATTGTGCTATGCCGGAGTGAGGTGGGTGGTAGAACCGGTTTCTTCTGTGCTGTGGAAATTTACACCTGGTATTCTTGCATCTCAGATTAAAAAGGCAGAGATGGACCGCAAGACATTGGACTGGGAGATTGTAGAGCTCACTAATAAATTGCTTGATGCCAAAACAACTATCAATAAGCTGGAGGAACTTAATGTAAGTGTGAGTCTACAAATGGTTGTGGATCTGTGTTGAGGTGTGGGCTTTTTTTCTGGTTCAAAGTCATTAGTGTAAAGAAGCACATGAATAACTAAAATGTGTATAAAAATGTGAGAACAAGCAAATAGAAAAGGGCTTGAGGGGATGAGCAAGAAAGACCTGATCTTCAAATTTGATATGTTTACTTTTCTAGCATTTAATCGTAAGGTTTGACCTGTGCCCAGGCTGTAGTAACCAAGTGGTTATTTAGTTTAGAAGTGGGAGGGAACTATTGCCTTTTCCACACAATTAATGTAGAAGTTCCTGGATTTGGTGCGTGTTTCTATTAACTGCTCTCAGTTCACTCCAGTCTGTTTGCAAGATGCCTGGCATTGAGCAGTATCTGCAGGCATGTCTGAGAGCTCCGAGATGTCCAGCAAAAATCTGGTGGGACTTTTGGAGATCAGTTTCACAAAAGGATAGGAGTTTGATGTATGGAGTGAATATAGGCCTGGAACAAGAGTTGAAAGGGACATGGCTGAGTTGTAAGAAGTACACGAGGTGTGGAGAGGAGGGAAAGGCAGGCACCCTCAGAAGAAGTTCATGATATTCCACCTTCTGTTTGAAGCTGGTGAGGTGGTGTCATTTCAGGTAAGAGATCAGTCTGACACTGTTGCATGCCTGTGCCTTTTTTTTTTTTCTTTTTTTTTGTCAGGAACGCTATCGACAGGACTGTAACCTGGCGGTACAGCTGCTCAAGTGTAACAAGTCCCACTTCAGGAACCACAAATTTGCTGATGTGAGTAACAGTCCCACTGAGGTGGGGAAGAAGGTCCCGTGGTTTCCACCTGTCTTTCTTCTTCCAGCTTTCTCTGCAGCTTTTCTCTTTTGGCCTCTCATCCGTCAGCCACAGGCAGAGGTATGGGGGGGCTCCTGTTCCTAGTCCCACCAAGAAGCCAGTGCAGAGCCTCTGCCAGCTCCTCTTTCACACCAGCTCCATTTCACAGTGCAGCCAAGAGCTGTTATAAAAAGCACAATAACCTTGAATTTGATAGCCTGCTGGGTGCCTGATGGGAGCTGGCTAAAGGACAGATTTCTCTCTTACCCTGCTCTCTCCTCTTTCGTTTCTTACCTGGCCACATGCAAGGGCTGTGCTGTGTGATGGAGTCAAGCAGCAGTCTGTTGTCCCTACTTCACTTCTTGCTCTTATGAAAAGTTTTGGAGGCAACATTCAGAATGACTTTTGGGTTTCTTGAATGGTAGATATTGGTACCAACATATACTCTTGCTTGTGAGAGCTCATCCTGCCCTTGGGGTAAGTAAAGGTGGAGGTTAGGCCTTTCACGTTGGTAGCATCACTCATTTGATTGGGAATATTTTTCAGGCGTTTAACCCAGCTCTCTCTCTTTCTGTGCCTTTAGCCTTCAGACCTTCTTATGTTCCTTTCTGCAAAACCATGTGCTCATCTTTAGTAACTTAGCAGGTGACCAACATGTCCCCCTCCCCCATTGTGTCTCAAATTAGCACTCTTGAGGTCAGTGTATCAGTTACTGCTGGAGTAACCTTGACCCCTCTCCCAGCTGTCACCACTCCCCAGGGCTTTGAATTCTGCCCCCCAGAGTGCTGTGTCCTACATGGCTGCCACTGGAGGGGGGTGGTACTGAGCCACTGTGCAAGCAGTCTGCTTCCCAGCCAGCTGTTTGCATGCACTGTGCCCCCAGCTTTGGATGGAGTTTCCTTCTGGCTGTGACGGGATGGACCTTGCTGTGCCATGGAGTGGCTTGTGAAGCTTTGTTCTCCATGCTGGTGCATTTGACAGGACAGTGGGGAGAGCAGTAGCACTCATCTGCGGGACAAGGAGCAGTGCTTAACTCTGCTGGACCTTGGTCCTGAGGCTGCGGTAATAAATAAGCCCTGTGTTTGCCTCTCTGAAACAGAGTGAGTTGACGAAATAGGATGATGTGAGAGGAGTCAATGGGAGCAAGGGAAGGCATCAATTCTGATCTGTGGGCAGGCTGCCAAGGCAGCAAGGCTGTAATTACTGCATTTGGGGAGCGCTGCAGATGTGAGCACTGGGGGATGTGCAGTCACTTCAGTGCAACCACCAGCTGATTTTCCACAGATCAATAGACCTCTCCCCAGCATGCACTGGCTGGCCTTGTCTCTGTGCTCACAGGCATGGCTTGTGACACCATTTCTTGTTTTGTTTTTTTTTCCCCAAGATGGGCCTGTGAACTATGGCCTAGGAACATGAGTGGTATGACAGGAACAGAGCCTTGTTAGTCTGTCATATATGGCAGGTTCTCTTTTGGAAAGAGATGCCTACCCCAAGGCAAGGTAGATAAACGTTAGTATTGAGATGAAGATTAAAGATGAAGGTTGGCTGGAAAAGGCAGATTTTTTGAAACTGCGTGACTTGTATGTCAGTACCCTTCTAATGTTCTGTTCCTTCTCCCTAGCTTCCCTATGAGCTGCAGGATATGGTCAATAAGCATTTGCACAGCACTCAGGAGTCTGCAGGCCCTGGTCAAGAGGCAACCCACACCTTGGCACCATCTGATGTTGTGCCCACCTCAGTCATTGCCAGGGTTTTGGAGAAGCCAGAATCTCTGGTACTGAATTCAGCCACGTCTAGCAGTGGCACCTGTCCTGTGGCTGAGGATGTCTTTGTGCATGTGGACATGAGTGGAGCCCCTCCTGATGCCTGCAGCAGTGCAGGGCAGATGAAGAAGGAGGGAGGGGAAGTTGGGAAGCAGCAGAACGGTGGCTGCAAGCCACAGGGTAGTGTGGAAAGCGTGCAAGAGGATGTGCCAGCCTTTGAGAAGCTAAGCCCATACCCTACACCTTCACCTCCCCATCCTATGTACCCTGGGCGGAAAGTAATTGAGTTCTCTGAGGACAAGGTAAGGATTCCAAAGAACAGTCCTCTGCCCAACTGTACATATGCTACACGCCAGGCCATCTCCCTCAGCCTGGTACAGAGTGAAGATGAGAGCTGCGACAGGCACCGGACACTTCCCAACAGCCCTGCTTCAGAAGGACGCCGCTCGGCCTCCAGCTGTTCCTGTCAGCAGTCCCCCAAAGCAGCCAGGGCTCATGGCTCTTCCCAGAGCAGCCCCTTCAGCAGCCCTCCCCAGATCCCGAGCGCCTTCGCTAGCTCTGCCAGCTCTGAGGAGGACCTGCTGGCTAACTGGCAGCGTATGTTTGTGGACAAGGCACCCCCCACTTCAGAGCGGGTGCTGATGAACCGTACGGCCTTCAGCCGCGACACAGCCCCTGAGCTCCAGAAGAGGTTCAGCCGTTCCATGCAGGAGCTGGATAGGGCAGCCTCTGCCTACTCAGATGGTGAGGAGTCTGCCCAGAGCTGCAGCTGGACTGTGAGCCGGGACTCAAGCGTGGACACAGACAGCACTGAATCCAGAGCCCGCAGGAGCCATTTCTCTTCTGACTATGGTACAGATTTCTCCCAGGATGAAGCCCAGAGGCTGTTGCAGGGAAGTGGTGGAGGCACTGCTGAGCCTGGAAGTCCACCCCCAGAAAAGCACAAGGACTATGTGGACCTTGGCTTACCTGAGAGCCCAGCTGATGAGAGAGAGTTGTTGCTCCAGGGAAGCAAGGAGAGTAACCAAGGAGGAGCTCAAGAGGAAAGTGGGGAAGGCAGGGTCAAGCCTCCCTTCAGTCGGCCGCACCGCAGCCCCAAGAGAATGGGGGTCCACCATCTGCATCGCAAGGACAGTCTGACGCAGGCCCAGGAGCAAGGCAACCTTCTCAGCTGAGGCAGGGGAAGCAGCAGCCACATGCCGCGGAGCTGTGGGAGATGCCTCCATCTGTCTTCTGAGGGAGAAACCTCTCTCAGTGCCCTCCACCCTAGGAGGAACTCTGGGCTCTGCTCTTAAATGTTCTGTTTATTCTCTTTCGCTACCTGGAAGAGCTGGGGTTCCCATTCCCTGGCACCTCAGACCTGCAGTACTAGCACATGTTGTGCAGAAGCACACCCACTGCCCTGGCACGCTCACAGCTCTCTTCACAGCCTCACACTGGTGCCTGTACCAGACCTTGTTCTTGGTACCCACAACCTGGTGCCTCTCCTCTCTGCGCTCCCATCCTCCCTTTCCCCTTCCCACTCAGGTACCTGAGGCCCCGGCTGCTCCCATACTGGTGCCTGCAGCTGCTCTGCTCCCTTTTAACTCGTGCCAACAGGGCAGCGTGCCTGGATGGTGGTGTCTGATTCCCTGGGAGCCCCCAAGGGCCATGAGGACTCTCCCAGGGGATGGATCTGGTCCCTAGGGTGTATGCCGAGGATGCTGGTTTCTTATTTTCCTGTTGGTTTTTTTCCCCCTAGTCCCCTGGGTTGTGTTCTTCAGAATCTGCGCCTGTAGCTCCCCATTGCTCAGCTCAGCACCTGGCCTGCACTGAATCGAGATGCAGGCCGGGGCTGTGCTGTGACATTCAGCTGAGAGGCCTTGGGGAAGGAGGGAGGGGAAGGTCAGTTCCTTCCCAGGCAGGGCATTGCCCTCTGGGCCATGTGGTATGTTTGTGTGTCTCCTCCCTCACACCTCTTCCCCCGCTCTCTGTGCTGTTGTTTTGTTTGAATGGTGCTGACTCCTTGCTCTTGGGTGGGCTTCTTTCTTCTTTCCAAGCCTTTGGTTTTGGGGTGTATTGGTTTTTTTTTGTTTGTTTTTTTTTGTTTTTTTTTTTTGTTTGTTTTCCCCCGCCCTGCATAAACAGACGCAGTGGTTGGCAGCCAGTCTGTTCCTTGCGTTAAGGGCGTGTTAGGGGTGGCTCAGCTCTGAGCTGCGCTTCCCTCTGATCCTGGCCTTCAGCCTGCAGAAATCCCTCCAAATTTGGAAAACGAGATCTTGCCCCCGGGGGAGTGAGGCATGAAGGATGCTACTAGGATTTTCTGGGCAGGGCTTTGTGTACCATGGCCCGTGGGGATGTGAGGGAGCTGCTCCCTGCGGCTGCACTACCTCACGCCTCAGTAGCACCTGTCTGCCAGAGTCTCTTTGTGCCCCCCTCTGGGGGCTCCAGGCTGGCTCTGGTGCTTCCACTCCTGAGCAAGGGTCTCTCTGTGTGTTTTTCCTAGTGTAGTGTGTATTACGTGATTCTTCTTCACGGTCTTGTGTGCTCAGTGTCTTATTGGGGGGAGGGAAAGGGAGAGGTCTGTAGATGTAGGTATTTTTTTTGAGGGCTAACAAAGCCTGGTGTCCAGTTTTTAATTTTGTCCTGTGCCCTTGTCCATGTTTCATCCCCAGCCTAGGGGTGTGAGGCGAAGGTCTGGCCTGCTTCCTGGGCTGTGCTGCCCCCACACCAGCTGGCTGTCCTTAGCCTGCTGTCTGTTTTTTTGAGTTGCGTTTGTGTTGTCTTCTTTCCCTACTCCATTAGTTCTGTACTAGCTGGCTGTGTTGGAGGAGAGCAGCTCACTGCCCAGGAGGGAGCTGACAGCAAGAGACGCAGCCAACAGCTGCCCCAGGGTCCTGCTCCCCTCCCAGACCCCTATCTCACCAGAGGGCTGCACTTGCAGCTGGAGGCAGCCAGGGCCCCAGCTCCAGCCTGGAGGCTCCAGGGCCTGTGAAAGGTAGTTGCAGGCCTCTGTGGGGCTTGGTGTGCCCTAGTTGGAGCTGCTGCCTATGTATTTACCTTCTGTCCCACCTCAAACAGCTGTGGAGTTCAATGCCGACCTCAAGGTAGAGGTGGGACTCAGTATTTTACTACAGTATTTCACTCAATTCCTGTGCAAACAGGCTGGTGCTGAGAGCAGAAGCTTCCTTTTAGCTTGCAGGGCATTATTTCTTATCCTGAAAGTTGTGATGGGATCCTTGCATTTGCTCTCCCCTGCCACTATGCTGCTGAATTTCTCCTGCTCTTCTGCAGCAGTACTGAGGGCTTTCACCTGCAGCAGCCACTATCCTGTGGCTCGTGGACATCACCTGGGGTTGGGTGCTTTTGGAATGGACTCTTGGGGCTCTCTGAACACCTGTGGCACATGTGGGACAGCCTGTCAGAGAAGGCTGGCTGATGTGGGTTAGCTCATCTGCCTCATTGCAGCTGGGAGGCACTGCCCTTCAGGGCTCATCTCTCCTGGTGTGCTGGTCAGGGGACAAAACACATTCTCTTGCTGAAACTGAATGGTGCTGGGCAGAGCTGGGCTCCCCTATGCTTTTGGTCTCAGTAAGCTAAAAGCACAACGGAGGAAAGAAGGGTGGGAAAGGAGTGCCCACAGCCTTCACATGCAGTTGTTTCATAGCATTAGGCCACTGGCAGGCAGTGAGGGGGAGCGAGCAGCCGAAGGAGGAGTAGACCCCCCTCCCAGCCAGCACAGTGCCTGTCCTCTGCTCTCCTCCAGAAATGTTGGCTCTGGGGCCTTGAGCTGACCCAACTTTCAGTGTCCCAACTCCAGACTGTTAATCTGTAACTAATGTGTTCTGTTGTTGTTGTTTTGCTTTTTTTTTTTTCTGAAATTTTCAAACTGATGTATATTTTAAGACCAGAAATAAACTATTTTAAAAGTAGGAGGTGATGGCTGTAGCACTCTCACCTGGGTAGGGACCTGGGCCAGACCCATCTTCAGTTTGTGAGGTAGCAGAGCCTCTTATGGTACAGAGCCAATCTTGCTGAGCTGCATGTGCCTCCTGTAAGTTTTCCAGTAGTTGTGAATTCACAGGTCATCCTCTCTGCCTGCCTCAGTCTGTTTCAAGGTTTTTGTACAGATCAAATTGTCTGCATTAGACAAGAGGTACAGTCCCAGGCAATGGGGGGTACGGGAGATGAGTGGTGTTTTACTTTTATAATTGCATTAGAGCAGATGCTCTGGAATCTATTCTCTGGGTCTGAGTGAATATGGACAGCTCAAAGTTCAGAATGAGCCTCTTGGCCAAAATCCCTCTGTCTTCATGTCACTTTTGACTCTAAAGCTAACAGTGGGGGTTTTTGTTTTTTTTTAACAAAAATTAAAAAACAGATTATTGAACCAGGCAACTTTGGGAAACATTGAAAAATAATGTAGGTAATTTTTCATGTTGTTTTGAAGGCTGTGAAAGTGAGGCGTGGTCTGCCAAAACCTATGATGAGATCTGGTGCTATAAGAAGGCCCAGTGTTACCCAGGAAAAGCAGCCTGCCACATCTCAATTATTTTGCTGGCTGTGCATCTGCCTGGTTTGTGTCTTCCTAGAGAAGTTCACATGTTCATCTGGATAAGATGAAGTATAGCAATTTCTTCTTGTACTTACCATTTTCCTTGAAACCCCAGCTCATGGAGTCAAGTAAGACCCAGTTCACCATTTCAGAAACCAAGATAGGTTATCCTGGAGGAATTGTATAATTCTAGTGTATGAATGTTATTGGTTTTTGTTTTCTTTGTGTGGGGAAAGTGGTTTGGAGTTGACAGAAGATACTCAAACAGGAAGTCCTCTTTGTGTGAGAGTTTCTGTGGGTTACTGATACCAACACTTCCAAGAGTTTTGTTTTCATGAGCAACTGCACTGCAGGGGGCTCTAATGAAATCTTCATCTCACATGTTACACAGGTGTCTGCCTTCTTGTAATACTCTCTTTCCTAAGCTCCATCTTCATGGCAACAGGAGGAGACCTGGGCACCTTGTGCTGTAGGTGGATGGAGTAACACAGGAAGCATCTTGTTTCCGTGACTCCATAATTAATGATTTTATTCTGTGTTCCCTTGAGCAGCAGCTGCTGCCACAATTAAATCTTCCAACTTAATGCCAGTCATGAAACACAATCTTCTTCCTTACTACACTTCAGCAAGTGCAGGGGACACATGGCTGCAAGCTGTCATACCAGCACTAGTTGGAGCCTTCACCACAGCCTGTACCCCATAGACAGGCTCCAGCCCTCACTTCCAACAGAAATGAAGGCCTGGAGGAGAGCAAACAGGACTATGCTGGACCTCACTGCAAGACCAGGCAGGCATCTCCTCTGAGGGAGCTCTGCTTCCTTGCAACAAAGGGAAGGTGGAAGCTAGTATCCTTCACCCTTGCAGAACCACCTTCTTGCACCTGTGGTCCCAGATCTTGTGCTTCAAGAGGAGCTTGTGCATTCCACGAGGGGCTGACCGAGCTTGTTTGATGTGTGAAGGAGTCTGCCAGCACCTCATACTTTACCGCAGAAGCCCATGCCTAATAGCCTAAAGTTGGCACCCAGCTTCAGCAGAAACTCACCCCTGGGTGGCAGTGTGCCTCTTTGTCCCTTGTCTCTGTCCTGCGAGCTGTGAGTAGCATCTGCGGCAGGCTGGTTCTCACTGGGGCAGGGCAGCAGGGAGCTCGGGCTGCGCAGGGAGCAAAGAGCCCGGCCCTGGGCGGTGCTGCCACCTGCTGCTCGTGCTATGCCCCCTCCTGTACATGTGGGAAGCGAAATGCCCATTTTTAGCACTATTTCTGTTAGTGTAATTACCTCGATGTAGCGGGAGCAGAAGGACTGAGGCAGCTGTGAGCAGTGCCACATCTGTGACCTTTATAAAACTCTGATTGTGACAGCAGAACAAGCAATAGAAAGACCATCTCTTATACACATCTGAATAAATACAGCCTGTGTCCTGCAGGGTGCGGCCAGGCATGGGGAGAGGCAGGGCAGTGTGAGTAACACATGCAGCAACCAGACAATCACAAGCAGCCGACGGGGCGTGTGATGACACAGATGTGTAGAGGTTCACTCAAACCAGGCTCCAGTACTCAGAGAGTCAAGGGAGCATCGACAGGACGTGAAATGCGTGAGGAGACCCCGGGGGCAGCTCACCGGAGGCAAGGAGCTGGTGGGTGTGTGCACCCCGGCGTGCCATGCGTGCAGCACTTTCCTTGGCAGAAGCAGGCAGAGTAGCCCAGCTACATCTCTGTTTCTGCTAAGAGGCTGTCACCGAGGCCTGACGTCATCAAGACCATCTGGGAGCTGGGATCTGTGGTGAAAAGGAGAAAACAGTGAGCTTTTGGGGCTGCGGGAGGACATGGAGCTGCTCTCCAGATCCAGAGCGAGGATGAAGGACTGCAGCCCTAGAGGATGGAAGCAAAGTGCTGAGAGGATTTGGGGATTAAGTAGGAGCTAGGCCTGCCCAGGTCATGCAGCTGACGGGGCTGGTGTTGGTGGGGTGGTGGTCACTGTTGTAACACACCTGGGCAGGGAGAAGGTAGGAAGGTAAAGACTGCTGCAAGAGACCAGGGTGAGCACCTGTATTTGTTGTGTCCCAGCAGCCTGGAGTACTTGGCTGTCAGGAACATCCGTCTAACCCCCCTGCACCTTCCTGACACATACATGCAGTTACTGGTCTTGCTGACCCAGCTGTGTATTTAGTCATCTCTTCCCCTTTAAACCTGCATGTGATGAATGGAATCTTTTCAGCTCTAAAGCCAGTGTCCAGCAAGGATGAGCTGGCAGGCAGCCACAGACTGAACCCACCTGGGGTGGTGGCACAGCCTCCCCAGGATGTCAGCAGGCAAGCCGACATTTTGTGGCAGCAGAGGTCTGGAAATCCTGATTTGCTGTGTTGCATGAACAGAGGGTTTGTGCAGCCCTCCTCAGCCTGGCTCCAGGAAGGTGAGGACAGCTCTCTGGCCTTTCAGTGGTATGGAGCCCCAGCCAGGAGTTCGGCAACTCTTCCCAGGCCAAGTGACGCTGATGCAAAAGGATGGGCAATGCACACCAAGTCAGAAACCAGTAGAGTACCAGTTTCTCATCCAAAATACTTCACAAACATCAAGAAAAACTGTTTTTCCTGGTTGTGTCGGGGGAGATGTTTAGTGCCTGCATGCTTTGGATCCAGATCCTACACATTCAAAATTGCTGTGGGGAATCTGTTACTAAAAACTGGGTCCCAAAAGTGGTCAGAGCTGCCAGCAAAGGAGATTTATGGCTCTAACAACTGAAGGACCAGATGTCCTGAGAGTGGTTGTGCTTGTCTGCTAATCTGCTAGTAGAATGGGGAGAAGGAAAAAAGAAAAAAATCTAACAAACCAACAGGATCATAATGCAGATATGATAACATACAATACTGTGTACACACACACAACAGCCTATCGGTATTTCCTTCACATACCTATATTACAAGCCACTGCACAGACAGGCTGTGGTACCTGGCCAAACTCTCACAAGCTTAGGCCACAGGGACAGGATCCTGTGCCAGTTCTGGAAGCAGTGAGGAATGACATGAGTTTTGGCTAGGATATCTGGCAAAGACCCCTGAGATTTTAATGTTCCTGCCCTTGGTTTTAAGACTGTGCACAAAGATTTTATTCCTGCGGCATCAGTAAAAATGCCTTTGAGATGCTGTTCCTACTCTCTGCAGCAGCCGCACTGTCCTTGGAAGTTCCTTTTCCAAGCATGGCTCAGCCCAACACTATTAAACATGAAGGTCATAGATGGAGGCTGTCTGGATTCCAGCTCACAGGGGTAAGGGACAGATACCACTAACCAATCCCACTCTGAGAGATAAGTGGCACTAGGAAACACCCTAGGCACCCCTATTCCTTTCTGCCAACCCCACCATGCCAGGCCCCAGAGCTCTTACTGTTCTGGCAGATCCAGGGGTTCTTCTCCCTGGCTGTGACTTCACGAGCTTCCGTTTCCTCTTCTTCCTCGCCCTCTGAGAGCAGGTCAGAGATCTGCTGCTGCAGCTCAGGACTGATGTTGTTCTCTGACAGGATGAGTGTCCGTAGGGCCGTGGGGTAATTCTCTACCATGTCTAGCAAGGTCTGAGCAGAAAGAGATAAGCAGGCTGACAAGAAGCATAAACTGCAGCTAAGTTCAACAGCGAGAGTTTCAGCACCATCTCCCTGCAAACTCCAGCCCTCCTCTTTCTACCTCCACCGTCCCTTGGCTTTGACCTCCCTTTGCCAGACTTTCTAAGAGCCTGAGGACTTCCCATATTCCTGTGGGAAGAGCTGAGCCCAGATTTTTTTGCTCTGTCCAAAGAGAAGGGAACTGCTCTACATCCTGTTGCTCCCACATACCCAGCTAAGTCCCATCTCTCAGGGGAAAGCCTATGCTACCATGCCTTGCCCCCATCTGTACACAGTGCTTTAGCTCTGATCCTCCACTACAAATTCACCAAATAGAGCTGTGTGACTTTTCCCTGCTGACTTGAAGGAGCCAAAAGAGCCCCAGGGCTGAATCTGTGGCTTCTGAGCTCCTCCTGTGGCTGAATGCAACAGGACAGGAAAGCAGCAACAACATTTCTAGGTGGAAGCGAAGGAAGGTATTCTGCCCCTATATAAATGGTCAGGACCTATTTCCTTTACACTGCAATGATGATGTAAGAGTAACAGGTTTCCTTACCTGGGCTGATTGGTTGGTGAGTCCTGTTCCCTCCAAATCCAAAACTTCAAGGGTTCGACTGGAGGCCACAGCAACAGCAAGCATCCCGGCTACCTGGTCACCTATAGGAGAAGCAAGCCAGGGCTGTGAGCAGTGCCTGCCTTCACTCATATACAAGCCCTGCTCTTGTGCGGCTGTCATGGAAACACCCTCTGCAAATTTCTGCCATTGGACAACTTCTAAATCTTGGCTA